CGCCGGCCGCCCCCGCGAGCTCGCCGCGGGGCTGGCGGACAAAGCCGGAGAGCCCGCGTCCAGAGCTATGTCCTTGTCCGCCGGCAGCGGCCACCAGCCCAGTCAGAGCCGCGCCATCCCCACGCGCACCGTGCCTATCAGCGACGCTGCGCAGCTACCTCAGGACTATTGCACCACGCCCAGGGGGACGCTGTTCTCCACCATGCCAGGAGGAACTCGAATCATTTATGATCGAAAGTTTCTGTTGGATCGTCGCAATTCTCCCATGGCTCAGACCCCGCCTTGCCATCTGCCCAATATTCCTGGAGTCACTAGTCCTAGCACCCTAATTGAAGACTCCAAAGTAGAAGTAAACAACTTGAACAGTCGTGACAGGAAGCATGCAGTTGGGGATGACGCTCAGTTTGAAATGGACATCTGACCATTCTGCAAGGAACAGAAAAGCAGCCCTGCTTGTCCCTGATTTGGCCAATAGCATCAACAATGAGAAGACAGAAGTGGTGGTACCAGCAGTTGCCTCCTCCTCTGGGTGCCAAATGATGCCAAGAAGAGTTTCATCTGATCATTTCCTCTCCCTGTTTCCCAATCCCCCCTCCCCAGTGAGACAGGTTTGCAGGGAGGACCCTTAGCATATTTTTGTAGAACTAAGCCACCTCACAGGAAAACAGCAAACTCTAGCTTCCCTGGTCAGTATTCTGTTGAGACCAAAACCCAAAAAGTCCTAGGTCAAATATGGACCCACCAATAGCCACTTGACTGGGAAATCTGGGAAGAAGATCCAGGGGTTTGAAGGGTTCACATTGTTCATGTGTCTGACCCTTGGGGGGAGAGAATCAGAGCTGATTTCCCTTTGACCTAAGGTTGCAGGTCCTTAGGGACAGGTCATGGTTTGTGGCCCTAAGGCATGTTGTGGAGGCTGCCACCCCCCACTCCTGTCTGTGGTGTTCTTCTTCCTTGTCCTTAACTTAGTACATTTGTCTGAAATGGTATCAGAGAGGGACCCTCAGTGACCAGCTGCTCACTTCCCGGCCCACCTGATCCTCCCTGCTGGCTTCTGGTTTCTTGCAGTCCCTTGATCTCCTTCAGAGAAACCCAAGCGAGTCTGTCCTCCCAGAACCACCTGCACCAAGGGACCGCAGCTGGCAATGAGGCCTCCACTTGCTGGGGAGGTCCGCCCATAGTGTTGCCCCCGGTCATACTTGGGATGTCTTCAGGAGAGTGTTGGCCTATAGGAACACCCAGACCCAGCAGCCCAGTTAGCATTGCCATGTTTGTTTTCTCAGATCCCTACTTCTTCAAGTTTGAGAATTGACTATCTGAATGTTCTTTTTAAAAAAACAAAACAAAAAAGAAAAAGAAACCCACAATGCAATATTTTCCCTTTGTGGGTCTGCTTTAGTTGGGTGCTGGGATAGATCAACATGGGCGAGGGGACTTCAGAGAGTTCATGGGCCCAATGGAATGAGAAGATGGTGAGGTTTTTTCCCATGAATGTTTTGAAGCCCCCTCGTAAGCATGTTCTCTCCAGTTTCCTTCCCTTTCCATTGTGCTCTGAACAGCCCACCTTTCTTCTTGCCTTCTTCCCTTTTTCTCTGGCAGGCCTTTCCCCCTTCATGTTTGTATCAGAGATACTGCAAGTCTTGGTATCTGATAATATCTGTCACTCTTATCTGAGGGTGACCTTTTATTTTTTTTATTATTTTTTTAATCAATTTATTAGGGCTCATACAATTCATCACAATACATACATCAATTGTGTAAAGCACATCTATACATTTGTTGCCCTCATCATTCCCAAAATTCTCTTGCCTCTTGGGTTCCCGGAATTCGCTCATTTTCCTCCCCCCCCCCTTCCCTTTATTTTTAAGATGACTACAGATCTATTTTTAGAGATGTTTCCAGTATACTTTTGAACAGCAACTTTGTACTTAAACAGCTTCCAGTATTGGGGAGGTCGGAAGCGCCCAGGGAAGACCGGGGTTCCAAGTCCTTATTCTTTGTCTCCCAGGCCCTGTGAGCTCTGTCCCCCTCCAGTTTGGGTGTGCATGTTTAGAGAGAGTAGTGGGTGCTTTGTGAAACCGGCCCATTTTGCCTTGCTGTGGGTTGTTGATGAAAGGCCTCATGCTCTTACCGTTTTTTCTTTCTCGCTCCCCTTCATCCCATCCCACCCACCTGCGGATATTGAGTGGCACCATAGTCACAGGGGAGGGACTCCACTTGAAGACTGACTGGGGTACCTGGCCCCTACTCAGAAGATGGTGAAGTATGTCCTGGATATTTCTGGCCTGATTCGGTGTCCTGAACCCTCTCATTAAGAGACCCCGTCCCAGGGTGAGAGTAAGCCAGCCCGCTGGCAAAGAAAGCAAGCTGTTGTCTTGTCTTTGGAACATGCTCTAGACAAAGTGAGGGAAGCCGGCTCAGGACCCTTGTACTGTGTTCTACTCCCAAATGTGGATCGTTCAGAGATCGAAACGTTTTCTTTTTTTTTTTTAACATTTTGTGAAGATTGATGTCTCTTAGGAATAAGCTGGATGGATCTTTAGTGTTTGGGGGATGCCAATCTGATGATGATAAAAAGTATTTTTGTTTGTTTGTTTAATATACCCCAGTTTTGGTTTCTATTAAACTCCTAATTTTATTTTGTGGACTCCTGGAAAAGGTTAAGTCACGCTGTGGTCTTGGTGCTCTCTGGGGAGTGTGGTTTTGGGGAAGGAAGCTTCCTTCTTGACGAGCTAGCCTTGGTATCCCGTGGGACCCGACCACAGCTAGCAGCAAGGTGATTCCCAGTGAGCTCACAGGCGTGTCCTCCTGGGTCTTTACAGCCTCGGGTGAGAACGCCACTTGCTCACTGAAGAATGGGTAGTGGATGGAAACCGTGAGGGGCTGAGTGATGGATGGCTCAGGGACTGCAGGCGGCTCAAGTTGAGGACATGGAGGTAGGATTTCTCGGGAGGGTCAGCTGTGTGACAGAGCAGCTGCCAGGCCCCCTGTCCTCTCCCAGGGCCTTCTACATGCTTGCTGCAGCTCTTCTCAGGAAGGAGGCCACTGCTGGAAATCCTTGGATGGCCCTAAGTCAGCATTGACCAAATAATTCCATGCGGCAAGAGACAAACTTGCAGTCGATGGCCCCGTGTTTTTCTGCTTGTAGGAAAATACAAGTGGCAGGGCTCACCACAGGCCAGAGGGGCCCTCTCAGGAGAAGCCCTAATGATTAGTAGCTTGGGTTATCCTGGCCTTTTTTCGGGTGTCTTAAATCTTCGTGTCCACCTTCATGTTTTTACAAGGAAACCCTGTTCCTGCGCTTGTTGGGGAAACCAACTTAACAAGAAATGGCTTTCTCCAAGTGCCCGCAGGAGATGTGCAGTGCGCCAGCTCTCCCTGCTTAATGTGGTTCCTCCAGCTCCCCTCCCTCCCCTCCCGGCTAAGTGAGCGTCATGGCCTCAAGTGCACAGGCCCAGAGAGGCAGCTTTCTCGATAAGGGGCTTCCAGGGCCAAGACTGTGCTCCTTCCATCTCTGCTGTCGCTGTGTACTGAAGTATGAGCACATCGCCACTGAAGTCTCAAACCAGCACACCCTGTGTGGGGACAGCCTCTGGGGTTAGGGTTGAAGAGCAGCTCCAGGGAGGGTCTTGTGAGGTTGTGGTCAGGCTATGCGTTTGGGCTGGAGGATTTGCTTCCAAGCTCACTCACTTGTTCTCTGACTGTTGGCAGGATGACCCCCGGTCCCCGTGTGGGCCTTTCATGGGGCTACATAGGTGTCTTCAGGGCAGGGCAGCTGGCACTCTCCAGAGAGAGGCCCTAGGAGGATGCTGCAGTGCCTTCTATGATGTGGCCTCTGACGCCACATTCACCGACCTCGTATGTGGAGCCGGAGCATAGAATTTACAGAGTCTGTTGAGAGTGCTCTTGCCACTGAAAACAAATCAAATCATGCTGCCAAACTGTGAAAGCAGACAAGCCCTCTCTCTTCCCAAATCCAGCTGCTGACTCAGAAGGTGAGAAGTCCAAATGCCAATTATCAGTAGTTCAAGGACACAGATTTCTGAGACTCAGACCTAGTGTCCCTAAGATTCATGCACCATGCATTTGCTCCCTCTCTTAACCAGGGATCGGCAAAGACAGGGAATTGAATCCTACCGGCCGAGCCACTACTGCCAATTTAACTGGGATCAGGATTGTAAAGTAAAGGGAGCAACTGTGAATTCGTTGTTAGGTTATTGGGGTAAAAACAGTCATTCATAGTGAAGCAGATGTTGCTATAAGAAGTCAATTCCCCACCAGAGCTAGTGCTTGGGACCTGCTCTCTCCAAACACCAGTTTAAAGAGACCTGGGCCAGGTATCTCACCAAGCAGCAGTGTCTCGTAAGTGTCTGCTTGTGCCTGCTTGGTCCAGAACTTCCTGGTAGAAGTGTGCTGCTAAAGAGAGCCAGCATGGTCTTCACCACGAAGCTTATGGGAGCTTTTCCACACAGTTCTTTTTTTTTTTTAATAGAGATAAAATTTTATTAGTGGTTACTAGGGTCAGTATACAGAAAGTGGGGGGTGGGGGGCAGGGGTGATGGAAAAACTCCATGGATCCATGGAATGGTACGCTTGCAAACAGATTCTTGTAATTGCTATCAATAAGGTTTAAACCTGTAAATAACTGAACAGGCAAAAATTGTGTGATAGATATACAAGGGGGCTTCAAAAGTTTGTGGGAAACTTCCATTATTTTAAAATTTATTTGCAGTCGTCACTGGGACTATTTCTTGCTGCTGATTTGTTTGCTGGCCTGCTCTTCCACCTGCATGACCAGGCTCAGGGCCTTCATGAAACTTTGCAGGGCTGAGAGGAACTTGGTAGGCTGGCGAGGGTGGATTCTGCTTTGTTCACCAGTGGTCATAGTCAAGCTGCTTGGTCATCTCGGAGAGCTTAAGTCAGGTTGGCCCTTGCTCTGAGCTGAAGAGGTGCAGGGAATCTCGGGCTGAAGACCCGCTGGGAGCGCCGACTACAAGGTGTTCAGGCTGCGGGCTCATCTCGTTTTACTGAGCATCTGCCGTGTATCCCAACACCCTTTCCCAACCACGGTTTTAGAAATGTCAGGCTCTGCATTTTCTGCAGCTCTGCTGGCTTCACCGTGTACTCCCCTGAGCAGCATGGCTGCCGAGGCAGCTCTAAGGCACTTCTTCAGACGGAAAGCGCTCATCTTTCACGGACCTTCACATTCTTTGATTCTTCTTTTGAGGTGGAGTAAAAAATAAATAAATAAAACCAAGCCAGTTGCCATGGAGTCAGTGTGGACTTGAACAACCCCGTGGGTGACAGAGTGGAACTGCCCTTGATTTTCTGGTGTCTTCTTTTTTTCCCCTCCAGAAGTAGATCTGGCCTTTTTCTGTGGTGCTTCTGCATGGCTTCAGACCTCCAGTCTCTCAGTACTGACCACTTGGAAAGCCTGTCTGCTGCTTGGATTACCTGCTCCTTGGAACTCTCGGGCCATACCTTCTCAGTTCAAACACTGTGGAAAGCCCTCGTCTCCTAGAATGCAGCTAACCAGAGAGCTCATCTGCAGCCAGTCTACTGAGGGCCTGCTTTGAATCAAGGCGGGGCTCAGCATGGTGGCAGCAGCGTGCCAGCATCAAATCTTTGTCTTTTCTCTCCACATGGGGAACCAGCCAGGGTCCTTTCTGTTTTGCATTGCTCCTCTGAGAGGAGGGCCCACTGCCTGTGTGTCTGATTCAGAACTTTCTGCTCAGCGAGTTTCC